AATGAAGGAATGTACTCAAGAGAACATGATACTGAAAGGCTTAAGGGACTGAAGTGGACAAACAACTTGATGTGGGCTCCCAGTACAATTCTGTGGTAAAAAGGGCTCACACAGTTGTTGAAAGTACAAATGGGTGAATCAGGGTTGGGAGCAGGGGATGATTTTGCCTCTGCATAGGACTATGGTGAAACTGATACTGGAATACTATATCTACTTTGAGTGTCATCATTGGAAAAAGATGTTGAAAAATGGGACAGGATGCAGGAAAGGCTTGCAAAAATTAGGCAGAGTTTAGATAGTGAACAGAACGCACGTTCACCTTTTCGCTGGGGGTGCAAATCTTAGACTGGGTTCTGCCATTTTTAAACCAGTTTCTCTGTGCTGACCTTCTGTTATGGGTTTAGACTGGTTTTGTGTGCTGAGCTTCTGTTAAGGGTATAAACTGGTTTCCGATCACTTATACTGGTAAAAGTGTAGTGTCTGTACCTGGCCTTAGAGGTCAGTCTGTAGTTTATCCAAAAGATCAATAGGCTGCTTCATTACAGAGAAAAGATGCACGGGTTCTTTAGAATTCAAGGGTTCTTTAGTCAAGTAGAGAAAGGCAAAACAGGGACTAATGGCTGGAAGTCAAAAACCAGAGAAAGTCACATGAGAAATCAGGGAAAATGTTTAACTTTGAAGCTGCTGAACCTCAGGAGCAAACCACCAAAGGCAAAAGGTGGGCTCTCGCGCGTGCTTGCTCGTGCATTCTCTCTCCTTCCCACCCCCCCTCCCCTGAAAATACGCTTTAAGTCAAATACAAGTAAGGAGCTCTCCAACAAGGGTAAACAAGTAAAATTCTCTGGCTTCAGATACAAAGGAGCTCAAAATAGTGATTTAATGGGTCCTGCTGACCTTAAGCTCTATGGGCATCTATACATGTGATCTGGGGTGCACGAGGTTTGCTTTAATTAGAGTGGCTCTGAGAGTTGATCTAATTAAAGTGTCTGCAGTGTCACGTATTCAGCTTCTTGCACTTCAAGATGGCCTGTTCGAGCTTCAGTTAAAGTACCCCCGCCACCATTTTGAAAAGCAGGGGCGCTGAATAAATGTTATGCAGAGGCTGCTGGCACACTAATTAACACACTCCAGCAGACTCAATTAATTAGCATGCATTGGAACAGAGCTTCATCATGTGTATAGGTGCCCAATGAATTTGAGCAGTCTATACACTTAATTGCTGCACAGGGTTAATCTGTTTGACACTTGAAGTTACTAAATAAGATCAATTTATCTTTCTTACAGGTCTTTATCTGTGAAATTTCACCATAGAGACAGAGTTGAGGGGATCTCAGTAAGGTCTACCACCATGGTAGATTGTTCTCTTTAGCATCACTTTATAGGTCTTAATTGATGGGGTGATGTTTTCATGCAGCTGCCTATCTAAAGAGTTAGCTTCTCCTGCAGATACAATTTAGCACTGGCCTTAAAGAACACAAAGGCTCCATAACCAGTAAATCACACAGGCTCTCAAAGTCAATCAGTTTAAGATCATTTACCTTCTCTTTAATGTCTTACACAGAAAAAACTGCAAGTTGAAATATATTTTTCTCCAAATATATATATTTATATAATATATACTCTTAGTTAACTCCAAGGTATATACATTGTGTAATAAATAAGGCTTATAAAAAGAGAAATTTTCTGAATATAAAATAAAAAAAATCAACAACTTCTACAATTTTGTACAAAACTTTGGATACAGCAGGTTGATGGGAAGGATTTTTCATTCAGTGCTAGAATATCTGGCTACAGTGAAAATGATTACAAGGTAATAAATGTGTTTATTATATACCTTTTTCTTGATTTAAAACGAAAAGACTTTTCCTTAAAGTTGGGTACTTGAAGTCTCCCCAGACACAAGATTTTAACATATAACTTTTAAATAGAATGCACATTATAAGGCTGTTTATTTCCAAAATATGGAGGATTATTTTTATAACACTCCTGTAATTTTTTTTCTTTTTTTTTTTTTTAAGGTAGAAAGTACTGTTGTTGGACTCCTGTGGCTTTGTTCTTGTCTACAAGGGAATTTTCCAGCATAGCTATATCTGTTCCACTATAGCTATTCCAGTATATATTCCCATTTGGACACACTCTTCTGAAATAAAATGATGTTTATTCTAGATAGATAGATAGCTTAGCTGTAGTGGAATATACAGCCTGCTCTAAATCCTCTTCTATGTCAGAAAATGTCCCTGAGCAGACAAGTCCTTGAAAAGCATCAGGCTGTTAAAGGCTAATTATACAACTTATAAGAGGGATCAGTGAGCTCTTCATTGGGAAGCACCTCCTTACTGTCACTTTTGAGGACATCTGCAGGAGCCCCACTAGTTTTTTGTCAGCAGCAGATTTTTTAAAGGAGGAGCAGAAAAGATTTTGGTCTGATTTTTCTGGCCAATCACAAAATTGAAATGAGTGGGCCATCTACTGTGTCCATCTACTATGTTCTGTGAGAACTGGATTTCTTCCCTTCTACACTGCCCTGAATCAGATAATGTACTACTTTTTTCACACAAGGGAAAGAAATTAGTGGAGGGGACATTTCAGCATTAAATGAGATTTTTTAAAATAGTTTCTGGGACAATTTGTCAAGGTTGAAGTTCGTCAATTTGCCAAGCATCAGATTGAAAAATGAAAGGTGGAGCAAAAGCAGCTCTACCAGGGAGGTACAACCTGGCTAAATCTTAGTGCCTCATCATCCATTTCTTGATTACAGGAGTATCTACCAGGCTCCTACAGCTGTAACAGGAGATAAGCTTTCTAATGTCAAGGTTTAATGTACTGTGGATACCTAGGGTTTTAGTTCAGATTCATGGCAATGTGGTCCAAGGGAAGGTCAGAGGAATTCTCTGATCCATTCCATCTAGCTACTCCATGTGCAGGTAACATCTTATCTGCATGTCTCGGCTTCTGCAAAGATGTTGAAATAGTCTCCAGCAGTAATATGTCATGGAACATGCATGTAGTCATGCACACAACTCAAAGCTATCTGTAAGGTTATAGATGTGCTAGCATCTGGGCTGAAGCCCTCATGTGAATGAATTACTAATGTTTCCATGCTCTACACTAGTCTAATAGAAAGAAGACGACAGGTCTATCACTGCACATCTGGTCTTAGCAATCAATTGTGCATCAGCTGTCCTAAATCAACATTGAGTGTTTATAATTCTTTCCTTTTGCTGGATAAAGTTGTGGATTGATTATGATAGTTTGATGCGAGATGAGTACCAAAGAGGAATTTTAGGCCAAAGGGAGCCCCCATTCCATAGTTACTGCCACCCAGTCTTTTAGATCCCAGCATTAGAGAACATGTGGTATGTTGAATAACAGACTGGGGTAGGATGACCATTACCCATTGGTTTGTTAGTAGAAGATGGCTGGCAGGAGCCCAGGTAGAATGGGGTAGTAGTACTGTTATTTTAAGAACTTTTTGTTTTGTTTTTTCTTAAATATGTGCAAAGAAAAGGGATGAATTTATACAGATCAGACCTTGGACAACCTGGAAATAGAGTAACCCCTTAAGAATAACATACATCGGCTATGGCATGGAAAGAATCCCAAAGGGGTTAAGGGAAAAGTTCCCATTTAATGGGTCACGGTTTTACCACATATGTTCTGGTTTTTAGTCCATTTGTCCTCTGTCTGGTACCATGAGCACAAGCCTTGGCTCTGGAGTCTGTGTTCTTCCCAGTGGAATTAGGGTGAATCTTAGTCATTTGCTTCACCTGCTTCTAGGAACCTTTAAGGTGAAGGGGAAAAAAAATTAATAAGCCAACAGTTGCTGTTCACTTGCTCACTTCAAGCAGAAGCTGTTTTTCTATAGTGACTGCATGGGATTCAAAGGAGACCAGCTGAAGAGAACCCTGAGCCAGCTATTTGCTCCTTCACAGAATCTGTATGTTTTTAGATCACTTGCTCCTGCCATGTGGCATATCCAGGCAAGGCAAATGGTGCTGACCCATCTCCTCAGGACTCTTAGCACAGCCTAAGCATCTATACCAATTTGAATGTGCAGAAGCTGGAGAAAGGAGGAGCTAGTTCAATCAAAGGCCTTGAGTCTTTGCCAGGAATACTCTGACCTGAGAGCAGCAGAGGAGTTACAGATCCATAAAGCAGAAGCCTATATTTTTTCCCCTTGTATTTGGTTAAATCCATTCCTGCTTTAATACTAGGCAGTAATAAAAGGCAAATCCAGACCCCATAGCTGTGTGATAAGAGCACCAGGCACTTATACCTGGAAGACTGTGCCATTGTCCCAATGCATTGCCGTCTTGACTCCAAACACCCTAGACTTGGGCCCTTCTCACACATTCACTTGCAACCATTGGAAATCGTTGGAATATTGTGATTATATTCAAGTGGGCTCATGTTAGGGTGGTGTTACATGTTCACTTGCAAAAGTTACATGTCATTGAAATGTAGTGGCTTATTAAAGTTTGTGCATGTTAGGAGATAACCCTCACCTGAAAGGGAACAACTTTGTCATGCCATGGGGCACTTAGCGTGTGTTAAACTGCTTGCATGTGCATCTGCTTGTGTTTTAACTGCACTGAGTGGGTGTTCAGTGTACAACACCATCTTTACACTTCTCTGCAAATACATTTCCTGTCGATCCAGACCAGCCCCCCTCCCATCTCTAGAGTATGCTGTCTGTCATGACAGACAGAGCAGAACTAGTAAAAGTCCATAGATCTAGTCAGTAGATCTAAGTGGATGTGACTGGTCTCAACTCTAACTTGTCTGGTACTAGCCTGGAAGGCATACTGATCTTTCCTCTGCAGAACTAGATTTGTGGTTAGTGTCGGTTTTGAAGGGAATGTTTCTTTCTGCTATAACTAGCCAGGTGCTTTGTTTTTCTATGACATCCTTTGAAGCATGAGAGTGCTGTATGGAGAAAGACCCCAGTGCCTCACTGCTCTGGCACAAGCTCCTTTCAGCTGGCCACCTACCTGTGGTGTTTACTTGCAGGTATGAACATCATAGACCCGGATGCATTCCTGGCAGCTCACATAGCAGCACCAGTGGAAGATGCAGTGGCACTTCTCTTTCCGCTTCTCAGTCCTGGTGTTGTGACCACGTCCACAGCACAGCAAGTCACAGCCATCGATCCCATGAGAAGTGACATTGCATGTTCTGTCCCGTGTCCCAAACGAGCCAGTCTCTGGGTTGGGCTCACAAAAGTTGGGGGAGTTCTCATAGTAAACCAGGTCCCGCTCTGTTGGAGGCTTGAAAAGGGCATACTTGGCACGCAGCGTTTCCACCCAGCCCCGGGACTCCCGGTGTTTCTCCACCACCATCTCTGAGGCACTGTCGTACTTATCCTTCAGGTAGTCACCAATAGCCCGAAAATCTGGCTGTGCCCACCAGCAGGTCTTAACCTCACAGCTTCCTGAGAGGCCATGACACTTGCACTTTAGGTGCATGTGATCCAGGATAGTCTGTCCAGAAAAAGCAGACAATCACACAAACTTTAACCCCCACTGACCTGGTTTTGTGTTCCCCCTTTTGTGACTGCATGCATTTAGACCTGAGGATGGACATGAGCTTTGCCCTGTGGCGATAGGGGACAAGACAAAAAGCAGTGGCCTCAAACTGCTGCAGAGAAAACTTAGGTTGCCAATTAGGAGGGACCTTTTTACTATGAGGGTGGTTGAGCATTGGGACAGGCTACCTAGAGAAACTGTGGAATCTCCATTCTTGGAAGCTTTCAAGAACAGGTTGGGCAGACATTTGACTGGGCTGGTCTAGTCAAGGATGATCCTGCCTTGAGCAGGGGCTGGACTAGATGATCTTGTAATGCCCCTTCCAGTCCTACTTTCCTATGATCCTATAACATGAGTAAGGTTTGAGAACTGCAGACAGATTTCTAACCTCCCCTCCTCCCCCTTTCCTCCCCTCCCCACCCCACGCCTGTACACTTAGCTCATCATAGAAATTAGCTGCACCAAGTTGGATGCTGGTCTTGCTAATAAGGGGCAGACAAGGAGGTAGGAGTCTGAGTCCCAGCTCTGCAGCAGGCTTGCTGTGTGTCCTTGTGCAAATCATTTTGGGTTGAAACTTTCAAATTGATCCCTGTGTGGGATGCCCAACAGGAGATGGCCTCTGGTCTGCTTTCCTAAAACTCTGGGACTCCAAGCCTTTTGCTGGCTTCACCTGGAACTGTAAGTACTTGGCACTTCTGAAAATTGCCTCCCTTCTTGGAAATGTGGGCCTTACCCTTTCAGTCTCTCTGCCTTAAAGTGCAGATAATGTTGACTGTCCTCAGGGTAGCTCAGCTGAGCGCTCCTATTAGAAGACACGAGGAACTCCATCTTTGACCCACACTAATAACTTTTTTAGTACTAAAAACCTATTTTAGATTTGGCAGAAATAACCCACATGAGCTAACTCTTAATTTTGATAAGTGAAGGGTGAAAGGCAAAAACATTTTCCCATTTTGGAAACACAAGTGCTTAATATGCACGAAAGGTCTGTGACTCCAATGAGTTTGTCAGTTTTATCCCCCTTACACAGATGGGAAAACTAAGGCACAAAGCAGTTTAAGATTACATGATGAGGCTCCTGCAGTTCCCAGCCTTCCTCCACACAGAGCCTGCTTTGCTTCCTGGATCTGCTGATTTGGATCAAAAAGGATTATGGACTTCTGTTTCTAGTTATGAGACTCTGCAATACATTTTCAAGACTGGCTCCAAAACAGTCACCTCAGTGTGGATCAGAAAATCACTGGTTTCTGTTAAAGTTGTGAGGCCTTTGGTTTAGGAAGGTTCTGCCAGTTTCTTGTAAAGGAAAAGATGTCAAGTGAGAGCATGAATTAAATGAATCCAAGTGCCTCTCCTTGCAGGCATTTCTGTCTTCTGTGGCTGGATCATTAAAACCTGCACCAGAGCAACAGCCTGCATTGTGAGGTAAACAATTTTGAAAACATTTGGGAACAAAGCACAACCAATAGTGGATTTCTGTATTCACTAATGCAGTGGTTCTCAAGCAGGAGCCCAGGGTGTGGCCAGATCCTTTGAAGGGTGCACGAGGTATGAGGAGATAAGCCAGGCTCATGCTTGTCCCTACCTGAATGATCCCCCACCCACTGTTGCCCAGCCAGTACTGTAACATATAATATTTGTTTTTGAAATGAGGTGCCACTCAAGTCACAAACATTATGGAGGTGTGCCTCAAGTCCAAAAAGGTTAAGAACCACTGCACTAGTGGAAGCCATGTCCTGGCGGTAGGTTCCTGGGGGTTACATGTTCTGTGCCCTTGAGTCTAGGTCTGATGACTTGGAATGAGGGAGGGCTCTGGCGACTACAGCCTGAGGATGGGTTGAAACTGAGTTTGTAAAATCTCTTGCAAGCAAGGAGTTGTGTGCTCCAGCTAGCACAGAGAGGAGTCATGCAGACTTCTCTCTACCACTTCCAGCCTTGCCACCTGCGGCGCTACAAGCCTGGCCTGCTGGCCAGTCATTACCAACTGGGAAATGCTGGGGATGAAAATCATTGTGCTCCTCAAGTTATTTTTCCCTTGCTGACTCAGGAGTTAATAATCCCTTGGTCATTACATGGGGATATGGCTGACACTGTCTTGCAAGGACAGTTACCCAGTCTCTCTTAACTGATGGGAGAGAATAGGGTTAGCATAGCCAGTTGTGCCAAACATATTACTCGGCTTCTTTGTCTCAATCTGGATGTGCCTGAATAGAGAGCAGCAGTGGGTCCATGTTCAGGGATGCTATATTGCTAATCCAGGGCTGCATGCAGAGCTCTCCAGTGCCCATTAATGAGCCAGGCCCTGATCCAACCCCCAGGAAGGCAGTGTTCCCATTCTCTGGAATGTCGCAGCAGCTGGATCAGGCCATCAGGTGTACAAAGAACTACAGTCTGCTCTGGTTTGTCACATGGGAGCTGGGGGAAAGGCACTCACCGTTCTGCCCGCTTCATTGTTGTGTCTGTTCATGGCAGATCGGGCATCTGGACGGTTCTCTCGGGCATCTGCAAACTCCCGGGAGACCAGCACGCCGAAGTCAGCATCTTCACTGCAACCACCCCATTTCCAGCCTTCACCCGGAGGTCCCTTGTGGTGTGAGTCGCACCCGCAGATGGTGGAGGTGCCCTCAGCACAGGAGCGGGTGACAGCAAAGGCCACACCAGCTGAAGCAATGGCATGGACAAAGGCAGATTCTCGTGTGGCTGGGAACAGGAAAGAGCCCACAGGATTATCTGGTAGGACAATATACAGCCATTTCCCTACCCCAGACCCAATCCCAACACCTGTGGATCCTGTTAGAAAGGGGGTTGTGTTTTTTACATGTAATAGAAAATTAAATCCTGTTCCCACTCCCCTACTTCCCCCCAGATTAGCATGGCTTGGTGCTAGGGAACAGACCAGTGCTTTGGATATATGCAGAGGGGAATATCAGTGGGTGAGACAACCCCAGGAAGACTCCAGGTCTGGAGTTCACACTTCCCAAGTGAAGTTCACTTATTTGAAAAGTTCAGAAGAAAGTCACAAGAACAATTGTGATCCAGAAATCTGCTGTCCAAGGGAAAAAGAAAAGAGCTCAGTCTGTTCAGCTTCTCTTGGATCCATTTAAGTGGTGACTTGATCAGAGTTAGTAGGGTCCTAAACAGGGAACTGATTTCTGACAACAGGGGCTCTTTAATCCCTCAGATGGAGGCAGAACAAAGTCTAACATCTGAAACCAAAGTCTAAGCAAAACCAGACTAGGAATCAGCCCCACATTTTTAGCGATAATGGCTGTTGGTCATTAGAAAATATGTGACCTAGGAATTCTCTGTCCTTCAGAGTCTCTAAATCAAGCCTAGATGCCTTGCAGAAAGACTCTGGATTTTATCCAGAAATTATATAAACCCAGCATCACAGTCCAAATGCTAAGATTCTGTGTTACATTGGAGGCTCAAATGGAGAGTTGTAGGGCTCATGGGCACTTGGTTTGTTTTAAGAAGTGGTCTTTCAGATTTAAGTCTTGAACATCTCGTTGATAAAGTGGGATCCTGAAGTAAAGGAGCTGATGGGAAAATATCTTCCCTGAAACAAAATACAAGTAGGTACTTGGAGAAAGTGCATGTTCTAGGTACAAGGCCAAGGAGAAGCAATCTTCTGGGCTTTGCAAAGGCTTTAAGGTAAAACTCCCACTGCTTTGCTTCCATGAATGCTTCCAGATACTAAGGGAGTGCAAAAGGTTTGTGCAAAAGCCAGAGAACAAGCTAAGCCTAGTGCAATGATGTTTAAACTGCTGAATACCTGTGGTGAAATGCTAATGAGACATCTCTGAATCTGAATCAAGCCAAGTGAGATCAGTGAGGAGGGGCAGAGGGGTCATCTTGCTGCTGCTGTGTGATGATGACATCCAAGGGCAAGACTACTGGCTCTCTTGCTCCCTAGAAAACTTGAGATGTCAGTGCTCTGTAGTGCTAGAGAATGGAGATGACAGCATCACTTGGAGGGAACAGTGTGGGGACAAGAAGTTCAGCTATGGCCTCGGGCAAGTCACCCTCACTGTCTCATCTCCCCTCCATGGTTCAGAAATACACATGGAATTCCTGTGTAACCCCAGACAGAGTCTCTCTTAGCTACAAGGCTCTCACAATGTTGTTAAGCTAGTCACATCCATGAAACAAAACTCAACAACTGCACAGGAGGCTTCAGCTTCCAGAGGTCAGCTAGTTCCTGTTTGTTGCTAAGGTAAAGCTTGTTGTTTCACAAAAAGGACTAATTTTTCCTCACCCAGCATGAGGCTGACCTAAGCCTTAAAAAATGTTTCTGCACAGTCAAGGGGAGATTGTGCCAAGGGATTTCTGGGATGTCACTGTGGGTAAGAATGTAATGCTATCTCCAAGCACTTTATGCTACTAAATGTCACCCCGTTTCCTACTCCAATTCTCAAGGTCATCCGGTTCCTCCTGTATAATATTCTCATCCTCCCATGTATCGCTGTATTAGATGCTTTGTTGAAGTTCAGATAAATTAGCAATCCACCTCATTTCTCTTGTCTAGAAAATCAGTTTATTTTATCAAAGTGAGAGATCAGGTTAGTCTGGAATGCTCTATTCTTTATCTCAGGATTCATGAGGTCATGGACTTCATGTTGCATATCATACCTGTTCCCCTTCAGTTCCATGTCTTCAAGTATTTTTTCCTTTGTTCTAAAGCCTTGCCTAGCACTGAGGGCAGACTGAGCCACAATCAGTTTTGACCCTTCTTAAATGTAGGCACTACCTTTACTCTTCTCCAATCATATGGTGCCACATCTAACTTGAGGAATTTATTAAAAATTGCTCCTTTTAAACCTGCTCTTTCATGTGCCAGCTCATTCAGACCTCCGAAACAGAGATTATCTGGTCTCCCAGACTTGAGTGCTTTGAGCAATTTTAGGTTTTGCTTCCACCTCAGATGTACTAACTTCCATATATATGCCTGGATTCCCATTAGCCATTTGACTTCCTCCCTTTTGCCCACCTCCTACATCCTCCTCACTGAGGTATTTCTTTAGTATCTGGGCAACACTTGTATTATCTTCTGCCTACACCAAGAAGATTTCTGGAGCTAAAGTAGTGGCTTCTGTCCTGGCCTTCTGATGTCCGCAGCTACCATTCACTGTAGATACTAGGGCCACTGAAGCTGGCATAGTGCTCTCTTGGCTCAACCATGTGGAGATAAAAAGAAGTTAATGTATATGAGAGCAAAACCTTGAATGAAACAGAGAAGGATTACTCCACAACTAAGAAAGAGCTGCTGGTAGTGGTGACCTTCTCCAGATGCCATCATTTCCTGGGTAGATCATTATTCATTCAGAAGGTTCCATAATTTCTGTGAATCCATGAGGATTCATAGAAATTAGCTAGCTAGTAACCCAGTACTGGCCCAGTAGCTTTGAACAGCTGATTCAGCTACACTACTGGATTAGATACCAGCCAGAGAGGCAGAACACTAAGCTGATGCCCTGAACAGGAACCCAAGCCTGGACAACATCAACCAGGAGACCAGAAATAGAAAAATACCAGCTTAACAAAAGCCTTTACCCCAGAAGACAGGGTCATCAATGATGGAGGAGAAGCCCCACTTCAGGACAGAAGGAGCCAAAAGTTTGAAAGAGACACAAACCACAGACCCAGTAGTTTCCTGTCTGAGGCACTGGAAGGCAGGAGGGATTTCTAGATCTTCTGGAACAGGTCCTGGCAGACCTAGGCACCTCTAGACAGAAAATACACATCTGAATTCCACCAGAAGCAAGCATACTTGAAAGCTCTGGAGTATATGGGCCAATGCACTTAACCAGTTGTCCTGAGGGTCAGTTCCTGACACCCAGAAGTCATCACATGGCAGGGGAACTGGCATTAGAGAAGCTTGCCAAAAGCATTCAGTCTTGGATACTGCTGGCCTGGTTGGTGCAGGCATGTCAAGGGCCAGGTCATTCTACATTGGCACACTGCAGTTACCCTCTCTTGAATGATGTTCTAGAAGTTCTTCTCCAGGTAGGCAGGGATTCATCTACTCCCTGATCATAAAACACTAGATGGTTGCTAATGTGCATAAGAAGCTTGTCTACCGGTACAGTACTCCTCCTCTCCTGCGCAGGTCTCAGAAGTTCAGCTTTTAGTCCTGCATATTCCAAGAGATGTGTGACATGCTGGAGGTAAATAAGACCGACACTGCACCTTAATCACCGACAGTCAGCCTGGAGAAACATCCCAATTGTACATTGTCAGCTGAATTGGCATCTCTAACAGATGCCAGCAAAACTGGGATAGCTTATTTCCCTGTCCTGATAACTGATAGGACTAGTGTGCAATTGTCCCAAGGTACACACCATCTGTGATGTTGGGGTATGAGCTTACCCTCCCTGGTAAAATTGCCGAATGGGCCAGAAATGAGAGAAATGTTTGTTGATCCCTTAGCAGAGGGATACTTAGCACAGATGGAAGTATGGGCAGAACTAGGATTATCAAGAAGGGGGTGCAAATGGTGAAGTACTAGGGGTCTAGGGCTATATTATTCAGTTTAAGATCAAAGCAAAAACAAATATATCTTTATTGGAATGTGTATTAACTTGCTATGTCATATCATGTATAAAAACCACAACTAGGCAAAAACAATCCAAATATGTTGTTTCATTAGTCCTGTAGTCATTAGAATTCAATGTGCATCTCTTTTAGATTCATCAGACAAAATCTAGCCTTCTTGAGCACCTTCACAGTTCAGCCAATGCCTCACAGAAAGTTATTTCTACACCTGAGTTAATGTTTTTAGCTAGAATTTAAAAAAATAGTCTGCAGAGCTGTGAAATAGGAACTACATTACTAGGAGCTGCTAACAAATAGAAGAAATGCAGGAGAAAGGATGGCTTGATTAGTGGAACATCAACAATAAAAAGGAGAGAGGGTCATTTACACCTGCGGAATTAAGAGTTTAGAAGGAATCAGGTAAGTTGCAATGAGCCATGAAGTCAAATGACTCTCTCGCTGCTGTCTGAATAGAGATGCTGTTGCCAATGCCAGGCAATTGGATTTAAACTTTGGATGGACCAGGAATCAAAAGGTGGAGGGGGGAGGGGCAAGGAAGGGGTGCAACCATACCAATGCATCCCTCCTGGATCCACCCCTGGCTGGAAGGAATCCTCAGCACAATCAGCAAAGTAAGAAAGCATTGACCACCCAGAGACAGAAGGGACACTACCATTTATGGGAGTTTGCCCAGAAGTACTTGCAGCATGATGGGTATGGGCCAGGAATCACAGAAAAAGGAGATGTCTGGATGCTAAGCTGCAAGAGAAGCACAAGGGTCCAGACAAGGGTGATCAGCAGAGCTGGCAGAGATACTCTGTGAACTCTCCTTTTTCTGGGTGGGAACACAACAGGCTACAAGTCTGGTTTATACAGGTGGTTATACAAGTGCCTGCCTCCCACTGAACTCATGGCTCATACCAACCTTAACCCTGTTCCTCCAGAGCTGGCAATGGTCCAGTGCATTCGCTGCATTAGGTGCTACAGTACTTAATGGTGGAGGGCTTGGCAGAGCTGTAATTACAATAAGACATGGAGGTCTAACCTCTATCCTCTGACCCCTGACCTCATGTTCAAAGGAAAACAGTGCATGTGTGCCTGGAGAGGCTTGAAACTCTCATCATGGTTGTGAGGTCCATAGGCTATGGCAGTGCATGGAGATCTGC